AATTTTAATGCCGCCACCCCCTAGGATGGTTATATACATGATACAATAATTTTTAGAAGGTAGTTTCACTTCAAAATTTTTGACATAAACCGTGTCTGTGACAAACACGCAATGTTGCCACTGCTACGATATAGAACTTGGGGATTTTCGCTTGTTATTTTAGATATTTTTTAACAGAACATGTAAAGATTTATATGTTTCATAACTGATCACTTAATTTTTAATATATGTAAATATACTTATTTAATACGTAAATTTTTGCCACTGCTAATCACATGAATAAAAATCATAAAAATGAAAATATAACAGCAATATTTCTTGTTTATATTGGATTAGATACATCGCACACCACGGACTTTATCGGCCGCCGATTTCCATTGCACCACAACTTATTTCTCAAAGCGATTAAGCTGGTGTACATAGTGTGCGCACCTCCATACATCTTCATGTACATATTTCAAGCGAGCCCTATCATTTAAATAGGCGGCCCATAAAGTCTGTGGTATGCGGCGGTGGCTCTTATAGCTGTATACTTACATCTATTCCGTGTGTTGCAATATCCACGAAGGCAGCAGAAAATTTTGTATGAAGAAAACTTATTAAAAAATATTCGAAAATTATTATTTATTTTTCCAACGTCAAAAGCTAGATTTTTTTTTTTTTAATGTTGGTACAACAAAAAATACGAAACACGTTTTCTGTCAGATAGCTAACATGGCGCATAAAAGAAGAAGAAGTGAAACTACCTTCTAAAAATTATTGTATCATGGTTATATACAAAAAAAAATAACGCCTATTTTTTTTATTTTGAAAAAAAAAAATATTTAGGAAGTGCTCAAAGCGCACAAAGTTTTCCATACATTTTATATGGGGAAACAACAACTTTTCGTAGAAATGGTATAGCATTCTTGAAAATCAATATTTTTCGATCGGAAAACTCTGTTTCTCTTCAGCGAATTCCCAATAATAATACCCAATTGTTTCTTTAACCATTTTTTCATGGTATCTATATTTTGTAGGTCCGCCAAAACCACAAGAAAATGCAATGAGGTTAAAAATGGTTAAATAAACAATTGAATATTAGTACTGGAAGTCTGAAGCCTGAAGAGAACCAGAGTTTTCCGATCGTAAAGTATTGATTTTCAAAAATTCTATACCATTTTTACGAAAAGTTTTTTTCCTCATATAAAATACGTGGAAAACTTTGAGCGCTTTAAGCACTCCGTAAATATTTTTTTGATTTCAAAATCAAAAAAAGGAGGAGTATATTTTTTCGGTGTAGAAAAATACTAGTGACCACCCTAATGCACATATATATCTTGTTTTATATAGATGTGCTTGTTCATTTGGTGAAGAGAGGCGATCTACAATGCTTCGGTATTAATTTGAAAAAAAAGAGTAATATAATACTTTGTACGAATATGGACACAAAATATTTATATAAGTACATAATGTCGTGGGTAAGAAATCGAATACATATAAGAATCTTAAAGAAGAATCCAAAAAACAAACAAAAATTCAAACAAATAACGCAACTGTTAAGCTTATTCCCTTATTGAATCTAGTAACTGGCGACATGTGGGTATACCAGTACTCACATATGTATGTATTCTCCTTTATGAGACTTCTTGTCTTGCCTCCCACACGCCCCGCACTATCTTGCTAAAAGGTATGAGAAGAGGATGCGAGCCGCGCCGCCATCGGACGTGGAGACGCAACGCGACGCGACTCGATTCTATTAATTGAAATTGAATTGAGTGTCAAAGATAATTTGCGTTGTGTCTAGATAAGTGTTGTACAGTACTCCAGCATTCACTGTGGTTGTAACCGGCATCCAGCGGCCAATGGCGGTTTCATTCCTGTTGAGCTGCGCTGGCAGAAAACGCCAGTCTACGCCACCCATAGCCCCATCTCCCATCTCTGCGTCTACATATGTATGTACATATCTGTCGGCAGGAAATTGTCCGTCAATGGCTAACTACTTTTTTTTAACAATAAGCAGCTCTGGCACAGTGGGTTGCAAGACAAATTAAGATGGGGAAATTAAAAAAAAGTAAAAAAAAAACATTTGAAAAAAGGTACAACATCAAATTCGCAGAATCCGTGATACGTACATAATTAAAATGAGTCTTTCATTTAAGTTGGAGTGCATAGTCGCGGTTATGAGTTGAAACTCATAAGTTTGTATGCAACTGTGTTTTGTGTGTAGCCGCACTGAGCCAGCATAATTTGCATTTTTGCAATTTAAATTTGTTTTCTCAACTTCGCTTCATCTCGATTGTTCTTGTTGCGGTCGTCTTGCTTTAATGCACAGTTGTGCTTAATTTCTTAATTCCAAAGCGTAAGTAAATATTGTGTAAACAAATAATTGAAAAGAACGCAGAAAAGTAAAACTTATTTGAATAAAAAATTAAGCGAATCAATTTAACAGAAATTTATGTTTGTAGCATCATTCACAATTCCACTTTACGTATGTAGATGTACATAAATATTAATGAATACTTAGAAATTGAAAGTGTACATATGCACGTACAAATACGTTAAGGATCAATGTATCATCCAATGAGCTAGTTAGAAACGTTCATTTGAAATGAATTATCAGGGTAAACCTAAAACTGAAATATTTCTCAATATTTCTCAAAGCAATTTATTTTTTCGCAAGAATCTAAATATTTGGGGCATTCCATACCAAAATGGACGGGTTTCACACTTCATATGTTTGATTTGTTTCAAATTTTTAGGGTTGATGGATAAACATAAATAATAAATAAATATAAAATTTGAGCTTAATTCATACATTTTTTAAAATTTAACAGCATAAAAACAAAAACAAATCGATTTAATAGTATTCCAAATATCTCGAGAACGGGGCGAGGAAAAAATCCAACATCAAAATTATCTATGAAAAAAAATATTTTTAAAATTTTTTTCTTGAAAAATTTTTCACATAAAAATTTTTTGATAAAAAAAAAAAATATTTTATGAAAATATGCCATCTCCAGAAAAATTGAAAAAAATTACAATGGTAGCTCTGAGTATTGCGCAATATTTAAGTATAGTATTATGGGGTGCACTCTACAATAATTTGAGTTATGAAAATTTTTTTTTACACCGAAGTTGAGTAAAATGAGTACATTACAAATTTATAAATTTTTTTTGAATACGCGGTCTTGTAGCCCATTAAATTTAAGCTACTGCAAAATTTTTTCTTTTTAACTAAAAAAAATTAGAGTTCGCGCAAAGCAGTCAAAGTATTCCATTTTTCTTAGATATCGTATAGAATACTTGAGAATCAATATTTTTCGATCAATATTTTAAGCTGTTTCTCTTCAGTAGGCTTCCAATAATAATACCAAGTGGTTCATTTAACCATTTTTTTATAATAAACAATTTTTATAGGTCCTTCGAAAACTTAAAAAAAATGCAATAGGGGGACTCATAAAAAATCGTTAGTAATAAAAAAGGGTAAAATAAACAACTGTGTATTATTATTTTTAGAAGTCACCTGAAGAGAAACAAAGATTTTCGATCGAAAGATATTTATTTTCAAGAATTCTATACCATTTCTACGATATTTGTTTTCTCTATATGAAATATGTACCTACATGGAAAACTTTGAGCGCTTTGAGCGACCGGTAAAGATTTTTTAATTTCGAGATAAGAAGAGAGGGCATATTTTTTCGATATAGAACAATCCTATGGGGTGAGAGCAATACAATTCCGACTTAATATTTTTTGCGCATGCATTTTTGGATCATCCTAATGTACATATATACATACTCGAAACACGCGAAGACATTTTTTGTCTATGGCATCAGATCTGCATGTTCATGTGATCTGCTCGATTTTCAAACTTGATGGTGTCAAATTAAAGAAAACATTTTTTCTAATTTAGATGTCGCCTGGACCAGGAAACGAACCAAGGTCCTACGGAGTGGAAGGACGAACCTATGAGCGGCCGTCATATAAGATCAAGATCACGCTTTTACAGAAACATTGAGAAACTTATAGAGTGGTCTTTGACCGACAAGAATATGCTTAAATACCAAGTTGAATTAATTTTAGACTTACGTGAACAAATATTATGTACATAAGACTGCATCACACCCCATACAAAAAAAAAAAATAAAATAAAAACTAAAATAAAAATCGGTACTGTTTTTCCACTGGAATTATAAATTATATTCTTTTTTAAGACTTGCACCAAAATATTTCGGAAAAATTTTAAGATTTACGTGAGCTCAACCGATTTGAAAATACTTCAATATTTTCTATGAATAAAGATAGTTTTTTTTTAAAGATTAAACAAAAAAAATAACCGCACATGACAAAACAAATATTTTAAAGAGAAATTCAACGGAATCATAGTAATGAGATTTTCGATGCTGCTTTTGAACATTTTTCAAAGTTTGCTTTAAGAAAAACTTAAATCACTCAGCCACAAGTTTACTCATTTAGACTTATAAGGTATCATTCGAAAGGTAACCCTTTTTATTTTCTTTGCAAATAAACTCATTCAAAGTATTGGAAAAGAAAGGCGATATGCATGAGCATCATTCCCAGTTGAATAAACATGTGTTGATATTAAAAAAAAAAAAAAAAATTGGGACGTGAATGAGTTTTTTTGCAAAGAATCGGTATAATTTTGATCCAGTTCTTCAAGTTTCTCTTAAACCAATCCCTGAAGTAAGGTTAAAAACAATATAATATAATATAAATATTATTATGCTAATTTTTTCAAAAAGTTTTTTAATATTTTTATTCACAAAAAACTCTATTTTTGGAGGTATTTTCAAATGGGCCCAGCTCACACAAATCTTAATCTTTTTCCGAAATAATTTGGTGGAAATTTTCAAACATAATAAGTTTTGTAATCCCGGTGGAAAAACCTTTTTTTGGTGATACAGTCTAATGTACATATCTGCATGTAAAATTTTTTAGTGTACTACATACTTACGGCCACATACTTTTCAATTAGGCAAACATTTTTTAAACAACTATTTGACACACAAAGCACATTTATTCAATTCTAACAATTTTTTTCTTTGCATAATCTACAGCTAGCAGATAATACTTATTTAACTATGTCATGTCATTATCCAAAACTTGTTAACTTTAACATTTGGACCTCAACGAAAATTTTTCGTTCGATTTGGCGGTAGCCAACTGTCAAAAAATAATGAGCATTAAATAGCTTAGGCGAGTTCTAATGAAAAATATTATGCTGTCGGTACAAAATATAACTAGAAGTGTAAACTCGCTTGTTATAAAATACATATTTTTGAGCAGGGCTCTCACTAAATTATAATTTAGCTTAGGTTTTTGTAAATTAAAAATTTCTTAGCTACTTTTACATAAATTCTGACATGCCTTAGTTTGACCCTTAGAACAGAGAACCACTTATATTATCCGCTCATTAGTAAGCAAAAAACAATTTTCCTACTCTCTAAGAGTGTTTCAGCTGATTTCAAGCATAACTACATTGCGTTCGACAACACAAAAATTTGAAATAGTTATTTATTTATTTATTGCAAGTAGCCGTTCGATAACGCAAAAATTATGCATCACTAAAAAATTGTGAGAGCAAAATGAAAAGAAATACGTTTATTTTGTGCTGAAAAATTTTAGTCAAAAAAAATTTATATAAACAAAGAAGTTTACTTTGGTTTTTTATATACCACCAACAAATATTTACTTTCAGAAATGTTTCTGGCGAGCACTGAACGCCCACTTTCCTTTTTTCTTCCATGGCGGCACCATGAATTTCTGTTTGTTTACAGACAAAATATAATCAAAGTCGGCTGGTTTGTCTTCATCCTCCAGTTTTTTTTTTGCAAGTGAAGGTTAATTTGCTGTTCGTAAACTTTTTTAGTTTTCCTCTCACTTTAGAGAGGATCTTCGCTTCCGCTCTTGATTTGGATTGCTGGCTGGTGATGGCAAATTTTTATTTATCTCAGCGTAAGCGCTAAAAGCCCAAGCTTAAACTACCAAATGTGAAACGTTGCTAGTGTAGCCAGGTGAGTAGCGTGGTGGCAGCATATTGCGTGGCGGTAGCATGTTGCCGGGTGAGCGCACTTTACCCAACATTGGCACATGTATGGCAGGCGAATTAACGCCTTTGGTGGTTTCGTCCATGTAGCGGCGACTACGCAAAATATCCGCATCGCTCTTCCAAGCCTGTTCGGGCGCGCGTGGACCTAAGCGCGGGTAGCGACGCTTGTCCACCGCAAAACTAATCGTACCAGGATTGGCATTTAAACCGACGTTGTACTGTCGTTGCATGGCGAGCGAAGCGCGTAGGGTTTTACGTTTCTGCAGATGGAAAGCAACGATTAAGAAGTGTATTTATTTACAGACTTTTCTAATTGTTTTCACCCACTTACTTCTATGGTCCCACGCCACTTGTCTGCCGCATGACGCGCTATGTCCAAACGTTTCTGCTTCTTCACCTGATGCTTTTTATAGATCACCTCTACTATAATGAGTCCAACACCGCCTGCTACACCCGCAGCGACCAAAATAAAAACGCCAGCCATATTCTGCAGTCCCAATGTATTGGGCGTCTTCTCGAAGAGTTCGCATTGTTGTGCGTTGCCATGGAAGATCCAATGCTTATCGAGCGCTTCCATGAAGCCACCTGTCAACATTTAAACGTTTTTTTTTTTTTTTTTTTTTTACTTCACTATTCACTTATCCTTAACATAAATTGCAACTTACTTTCATGAAACTCCAAAATGGCGAGCGTAACCGCATCTGTCCATGGGGAACCTTTCTGCAAACCTATGCCATAACCGCTACGACCGAATAATTCACCAGCGGTTACTAATTCGCAATCTTTGGACGCTTCATATTCGAGTCGCGATGAGTCCCAAATGAAGGCCATAAGTTTTCTGTTAAAGAGATGAAAGTTTAAATTTCTGTTCGTTACTTCAGCTTCTATTATTTATTCTCACCCTTTCTTCACATCAAGTATGGCCTGCTCTGCCGTATCGTAATTGTTTGCTTCCATTGTACGATACATGTTGGACAATTCCACTTGCCGACGGAAATACATGTCTACCGATGAACCCTTAACTGTAGCGCAAGTTAAATTCTCCATAGTGTTTCTCAGGCGCGCATCATTGATGCCACTCAACTTGGTCTTCGGACGTTCCAGCACGAGGAATGCAGCCAGGTTGGCAGTGTATGATGCGACGATGATCATTGCGAAGCCGGCCCAGAACATGCCGAGCACCCGCGCCGAAAAACTGCGTGGCGTGCCTTCGCCAATACCGCTATTCAAAAGCACTCCCCAAGCGAACCAAATCGCGGAGCTCAAATTCAAAGCTTTCTCTTCGTTGCTGTCCGTATGCGAGAGTTTGAAACGTCCAAATGGTGAGAATCTGCAGAGAAAGAGGAGAGAAAAAATCGCCAAAGAGAGAGCGTTTGCAGTACTGGTATTTACCTGTTTACATTTAGAGGGGCAGGGTTGCATTTGCAAAGCTTAATGAAATTTACGAATGTGGGAATTAGGGAGATGAAATGCAAAGTGTGCTTCGGCATGCGATCGATGGGCGGCGATCGGTTTTTGGTTTTAGTGTTTTTTAAGCGTTTTTTTCTTTTTAAATAGTTTAACTGTTGTTTGGGGAAAGGGTGCAATGGTCGTACGATCAATTCTCAGTGAGCTTTATGTGTTTCTTTATATTTCGGTAAATGATTTTCTAGTTTGAGAACTGATCTTGAATAGGGGTGGGGTTGTACGGCCCTACTTACCTATCAAGCAGATATAAGACCAGCGCGACTACATGTACAGATACCATTACCAATATCCATAGCGTGTTGCTGAATGGCTGCAGAAATGACACCAAAGTACTTGAACGGGATGGCTTCTTTTCGAGTATTGTGATGCCTTGGTATTTGAACGGTTTCGAGAACTCAATAAATTCGGCACGCTCTGGATTAATGGTGAGTGGCATCGCCATGTCGGCACGTTCATTCACCAATTCCCCAATCAGACCGCTCCATTCTTTACGTGACGTTATCGCACCCGAAGTGGATGAACTCACATTTTTTAAGGTGTAATGACCGAACAGACCATCGGGTGAGAGTGCCAAATCGAAGGTGAAATTAATGCGATGCGAAAGAGCGTTGAGTAGATCGATGCAGTAGCCGCGACAGCAGTTCTCGTTTTCTGAAAGAGGGAGCATAAAACGTGTGTTAAATGCTGGTAAAATAGAGAAATTGGTTGATTTTAATAGGGAAGAGGAATAAGTAAGTCAAGAAAGTCGTTTTGCATCCATCTCCACTTAATATAACTGCTCGAAATATGGCCGTTGTTGCAACAGCAAGGCCCAAAGAAGCCGGATCATGGATCGACTATCCTAGCCACGTCGGCTACTATCTCAAAACCCATCAGTATCGTATATTGCATAAGAGATACACAATTGTGATACTACTAACACGACTGAATTGGTAAAACAGACCTGCTCATGTGCCTAATGTCATACATTTTTATACAAATGGCTCCAAACTTTAAAAGAGAATCGGAGAAGGAGTTTTCTCAACCGAGAAGGTTTCAACTCTTCTATCATCTAAGTTGATTTTATGGAAAAATAATTTAAAAAACTAATTTTATTTATATAAAACTCGTTTTTTGGAGAGCTTTAAAATGCGGTCCAGCCCACGTAAATCTAAAAATTTTTCCGGAATATTTTAATATAAAAAATT